CTGATTTCACCCCTTAATAATCACTGTGTCCAGGGTATTGTGAGAGTTGGTATAAGCGGGGGTTAGCTAACTTTTTCTGGAAAGGGCCAGAAAATACTGTAGGCTTTGCAGCCTATATGGTCTCCGTGGCAAAACCCAACTCTTCCATGAAGCTTAAGAACAGCCATAGGCAATATGTAAATGAATGGGTGTGGTTGTTCCAATAAAACTTTATTTATAACAGCTGGCCTGTGGGCCGGATTTTTGCCACTCCTAATATATGAAGCATCTGGTGGGGTGAATGAATCCATTGGTTCCCCCCCAACCCCCTCAGCTTTGTTGATGTATATTGACAAATAAAATTTGTATATATGGTATTTATAAGGTCTGGGTGCAGTGGCTCATGCCTGTAATCCCAGCACTTTGGGAGGCTGAGGCAGGAGGATTTCTTGAGCCCAGAGGATTTCTTGAGTCCAGGAGTTCAAGACCAGTCTGGGCAACATAGCAAAACCTGATCACAACAACAACAAAAAACTAACTGGGCATGGTGGTGTGCACCTGTAGTCCCAGCTACTTGGGAGGCTGAGGTGGGATGCTCATCTCAGCCAAAGGGTTGGAGGCTGCAGTTAGCCGTGATAGTGCCATTGCACTCCAACCTGGGTGACAGAGTGAGACCCCAAATCAAAAAAAAAAAACCTAACAAGATTTATAAAAATAAGTAAAAAGAAGAGAAACATCTTACTTTTTAAAATAAAAAAAATTTGTACATATTTACAGTGTATGTGCAACTGAATATTTTGCTATATGTGGAAACCATTGATACTATAGGCATGCACCACTGTGCCTGGCTAGCTTAAAATTTTTTTAGATGAGGTCTCGCTATGTTGCCTAGGTTGGTCTTGAACTCTTGACCTCAAGCAATCCTTCTGCCTCGGCCTCCCAAAACGTTGGGATTATAGGCGTGAGGCAGCAAGCCCAGCTGGCATTGTGGTTTTCTTGCTGCCCATCTCCCTCAGGGTGGGAAGGTGAATGGGACAAGACCTCACTGTCCCCTTCATAGGTCCCAGCACCTGGCCCTGATCCTGGCAGCCATCCCTAAGCCCAGGAAGTAAATGAGTCACTGCCAGCATGCCCCACCCCTACCTCCCTTTCTTGCTAGAACCTTAGGGTAGGTGGCGTGGCTGCAGGCGACATGGATTTGTGATTTCCTGATAACCCACCCACTGACCGTGGGCAGGAAATGTCAGCTCTTCCAGAAAAAAAGGCAACATTTTCTACCCAGCCCTCAAAGCAAATATCCGCTCCGCAAGTCATGTTGCCGCCTTAGGTTGGAAAATTTCCAATTTATGACACTGTCCCATGGGCCTCCTGTCCCTTGTCCCTCCTGGCAGTCCTGTGGAGTGGGCTGAGCAAGTACTAGAACTAACTACTCCCATTTTCCAGAGGCTTTGAGGAAAAGGGACTTGTCTAAGATCATTCAGCAGGATAACAGTGGGACTAGGGTTTGAACCCAGGTCCATCTGGCTCCACAGTCTGAACTTACTCTGCTTTAGACTGGTCTGGAAGGTAGGTCCAGGGACCAGCTGGCCCTAACTTACCATACTGAAACTGCACTGCTGTCAGGCACCGCCCAGAGGTACTGATTTCATCAGCCTGGGGAGGGGCCATGGGTACCTGCGTTTACAGCCTCCCCAGGTGGTTCTGGTGGACAGGCAGGGCTGGGCTCCTCTTCTTCTTATGGCCCCAGAGGAGCCTGGTCCTCAACCCCAGCTGAATCACTGGAGGAGTTTTTTTTTTTTTTTTAAGATATAGGGTACAATTCAGGGTTAGGTATATAAATGTTCATTATGCAGTTACCCTTGTTGATGAGGTGTGCCCCCCCCATCAATTTCCCACTACTGCCAATCCCTTTCTTATAATATTATGATAATTGTTCAAGGTCTGCTTATGAGTGAGAACATATGGTACTCTGTTCTTTGTTTTTGTGATAGATCACAGAGTATGATCGACTCTAAATCCATCCAAGATGCTGTGAAGTCCATGTTTGTCCTTCTTTATGACTGCATAATATTCCATTGTGTATATGTACCACATTTTTTTAACCAGTCTAGCTTCGATGGGCAACTTGATTGGTTCCGTGTTTTTGCTATTTTGAATAGAGCTGCAAAAAACATACGTGTGCAGGTATGATTTGAGTTCCTTTGAGTATATTCCTAATAGGAGGATTGCTGGGTTATATGGAAGGTCAATGTCTAGTTCTTTCAGAAGTTTCCACACTCTCTTCCAAAGAGGTTGCACTAGTTTGTATTCCCACCAGCAGCATAGAAGTGTTCCTTTTTCTCCGCATCCTTGACAGCATCTGTTGTTGCTTGTTTTATTTATGATGGCCATTCTTCCTGGAGTTAGGTGGTGTATCAGTGTGGTTTTGATTTGCGTTTCTCTGATGATGAGTGAGGCTGAGCACTTTTTCATGTGTCTGTTGGCCGCCCCTATCTCTTCTTTTGAGAAGTGTGTATTCATGTCTTTTGCTCACTTTTTGATGAGACTGTTTGTTTTTTCCTTTCAGCATGTTTCAGTTCCTTGTAGATCCTAGATGTTAGGCCGTTGACAAATATTTTTTCCCATTCTGTGGACTGTTTCCCTGCTCTCTTGATGGTTTCTTTATGTCATTTATTTTCAGTTTGATGAGGTCCCACTTGTCTATCTTATCTCTTATGGCATGGGCACTTGAGGTTTTGATCAGGAATTGCTTGCCAGTTCCAATTTCCATAAGGGTGTCTCCTGCATTTTCTGAGGTTCTTATAGTTTGAGGTTTTACATCTAGGTCTTTGATCTATTTAGAGTTGATTTTTGTATATGGTGATAGGTAGGGATCTTGTTTTAGTCTTCTGCATGTGGTCAGCCAGTTTTCCTAGCACCATTTACTGAATAGGTTCTCCTCTCCCCAGTAGTTGTTGTTGGAGGCTTTGTCAAAGATAAGATGGTTGAGAAATTGAGGTTTTGCTTCCGGATTCTTGTTCCTGTTCAATTGCTCCTTATACCTGTTCTTGTCCCAATACCAGACTGTTTTGATTACTGTAGCCTTATAGTAAAGTTTGAAGTCTGGAAGTGTGACACCTCCTTTGTTTCTTTTGCTAAGGATTGTTTTGGCTATTCGTGGTTGTTTATGTTTCCATATGAATTTACTGGAGGAGTTTTAATATAACCTTTTACGATGGAAACATAGACAGTTTAGAATAACGAAGGGCCATGGGCTCTTTACCATGCATCAAATAGGTAAACATGACTTTTTTTTTTTGAGTTGGAGTCTCATTCTGTCGCCCAGACTGGGGTGCAGTGGCCTCTCCCGGCTACCACAGCCTTGATCTGCTGGACTCCGGCGATCCTTTTGCCTCAGCCTTCCCAGTAGCTGGAACTACAGGTGCACGTACCACGCCCGGCTCATTTTTTGATTTATTGTAGAGATGAGGTCTCGCCAAGTTGCCCAGGCGGGTCTCGAACCTGCGGGCTCAGGCAATCCGCTCACCTCAGCCTCCCAATGTGCTGGGATTACAGGCTGAGCCACCGAGCCCGGCTACATGACTTTTTTTGTTTATGTCTTTATTTAAGATAGAAAATAGGATCTGATATGTTGCTGGGACTGGTCTCTATTCCTGACCTCATATAGTCCTCTTACCTCAGCCTCCCAAATGAATCCTAAGATTATAGGCATGGGTCACTGCACCTGGCCTTGTTTATTTTTAAAGGCTATTTTGTAACAGTTTGACTCTCCAGAAGTTGCAAAAATAGTAGGATTTCTGTGCTCCCTTCTCCCAACCTTCCCAGTGATAATATCTGAAAGATAAGACTGCTAAAAAAAAAATTGTAATGCCATTTTTTGACTTAAAACATTAATTCTTTAATGTTAGCAAATATCCCAGTAATCCACTGTGGTTTAGGAAAGGCTCATTCTTAGGGTATGTCATTTATTCTTCATGTATTAGTTGAAAGTTTCTAGTGAGATGGCTCTTCCCCTCCCCTCCTGGATCACTCTGTGGTATAGCTCATTTAGGAAAGGTGGAAAAAAATGCTTTTTCTTTCCTCCTTTTCTGTTTTCAAAACATGACTTGGTTCATTGGCAACCTCAGCGACAAGGGTGTTTTTCTTTTTTTCCAGTGTCAATAAGAATGTGTGTATTTAATTGTGTGGTATATTACAGTTCATTGTGCTTGTCATTTTCATTCAATCTTGAATTGTCTCTTTTTGGGCTGTGGGACCCACTTCTGGTTAGTTCTCAGGTCTTTGGTCATTCCTGCTCATCTTTCGTTTCCTTGTTGTCGGGCGTGATGTGATTTTATAGGCTGATCTTGTGTATTTTCTGCCTGGCCATTTGACCAAGAAGAATCTGGAAGTTTAAAACAAAATCAAATTTCTGGCCATGCATAGTGGCTTACCCCTGTAATCCTAGCACTTTGGGAGCCTGAAGCAGGAAGATTGCTTGAGCCTAGGAGTTCGAGACCAACCTGGGCTACATAGCGAGACCTCGTCTCTACCAAAAAATGAAAAAAAATTAGGTGGGCATGATAATGTGTGCCTGTGGTCCCAGCTACTTGGGAAGCTGAGGCAGGCTCACCTGAGCCCAGGAGTGAGACCCCAGCTCAAAGCACACAAACAGCGCACGCATATAGCTTCTGGAGCATGCCTGACCTGTGGGTACTCAGAAAGTATTTGTGAAATGAATGAAGTGAGGTGGTAGTAGCACCAGCTCTGAGGACCATCGTGGGATGTGGGATGTGGGATAAGGCAGACCTGTAGCACATCGTGCCATGCTGGCTCACAGGAGACGCTCGGGAAATCTTTGTTGGGTGGACCTGGAGGAGCCATGTGAGCTTCCTTCTCCTGGGCCCAGGAGAGGAATCCTTTTGGGGGTGGGGCAGGTGGAGGTGAATGCCAGTCCTTCCGAAGGATCCTTGCCGAGCTCTGGTCTGGATGGAGTCTAATCACTGCTTCCTGTCCTCCCCTCTGTGCTTGCCTCCCTCTAGAATCCCTGCCCGGAATCCGGCGCCTCCTTCCTGTCCAAGATCACCTTCTGGTGGATCACGGGGTAAGGCTGGTCCCCAAGACCTTGGACTGTGGTGGAGAATGAATAAATGAATAAATGATTGAACACACTTGGCTCACACACCCCTGCCCCCCACCCCTTCCTCTCTCCCTTGCAGAGTTGTGCCCTGACTCTCCTGGGGGTGTGGTCTCAAAGACACCGACCCTGGCCCCCAAGTTCATGAACTTGAGTATGATAAATACATTAACTGTGAGCAGCTCAAGCTTCTGTGGAAGATTGGTCCAGGGCAACCATATGCTGTACTGCCCTTGGCTTAGCTTCAGATTCAGTATTTTTTACACGAGGTGTAATTATCATTATTGACATTGTCCTCTTCCCCTGCTGCTCATTAGAAAAATAGACACACTCGCCCTCAGAAATGTGGGTGAGAGACACATGCATAGATCAGCAACAGGAAAACACCCACAGCAACACTTTGACCCGCTCCCTTCTGGCCATACTGTTGTACATCTTTTTTTTTTCTTTTTCTAGAGTCAGAGTTTTACTCTGTTGCTCAGGCTGGAGTATAGTGGCACAATAATGGCACACTGCAGCCTCAACCTCTTGGACTCAGGCTATCCTTCCACATCAGCCTCCTGAGTAACCAGAACTACAGGTGTGCGCTACCACACCGGCTAATTTCTTTAATTTTTTGTAGATCCAAGGTCTTACTATGTTGCCCAAGCTGGTCTTGTACTCCTGGGCTCAAGCGATCCTCCTGTCTTGACCTTCCAAAGTGTTAGGAATATAGCACCACACCTGGCCTTGTGTGTACCTTTGAAAAAAATGAGGCCATTTTTCCTGGGTGTCTTAACAGAATGAGCAGTAATACCATGATATGCCCAAGTGTGCATCCATGTTGCATGGCTGCCTTGGGCTGCAGGGCGCGACTGGCGGGCTGAGCATCAAGCTCCTCGTCTTCCTCCTTCCTTCGTCGACTCTCATTGCCTAACCTGCTTGTGTCCTGGCTGCAGGTTGATGATTCGGGGCTACCGCCAGCCCCTGGAGAGCAGTGACCTCTGGTCCCTAAACAAGGAGGACACGTCGGAACAAGTCGTGCCAGTTCTGGTAAAGAACTGGAAGAAGGAGTGTGCCAAGTCAAGGAAGTAAGTGGGCGTTTCCTGCTGAGGAAGCCAGATATTCAGGTGACTCGGTCACCTCCTTCCTGTCATCGTGGCCCAAGTCTGGGTTGAAACCTGGCAGTGCCTCCTTTTACTCATTTTTGGTTCTGGGCAAGATGCCCCACTTCTCCTGTGGGCCTCAGTTTGCTCATCGGCCAGATGAGGGTAGACTCATACAGGTAGTTAAGGCAGTTTGGGTAGAAAAGAAGAAAAGTGTGGGACAAGTGGGTGATCAAGGCTGTTTGCCTTGGTGAGCATGTGCCGGAGTATGTGACCCTGTCCTTCCTGAGCAGTCCCATTTTTTCTGCCTCTCTCTGAGAGTCTGGCATCCTGCTGTGTCAAGTATTTTTGTTCAACATGCCAAGCTGATCATGTACATCGGTTTAGCCCAAGAAGCCCCACTCAAGGATGATTTAGACTGTCCCGGATTTTTGACCCTCCCCATGCCCACTGTGCTTCATTGCGCCACCTCTGCCATCTTTCAGGAATTGGGCTAGGGCCTCCCTACACATGCCTTATTTCATCAAGTCTGAGACTGTGTCAGTTGCACGATGCATCATTATTTTACATATTAGTAAGAAAGAAGAACAGCTGTCAGGTAAATGAGGACTGTCATTGATGTAAGTGGCACCCAAGTCTAAGGGAGGTGGAAGGTGAGTGATGTGAGGCAGTGTGTTCTGGCAGTGGGTGGCTGTTGTTGTTCCTGGTGCTTGTTGTGGAGTGAGCCTGCACTAGAGCTGGCCTGCTTCGGGCCACTCTGGCGCATTGGGGTCCCTCTGTAGCCATCGGCTTATGGAGAAAACTCCAGACCTGAGGTCCGATTCCTCATTCTGTCCAGGAATGCTTGGGGCACAAGTCTTCAGTCAGGCCCAGGCGGTGGGTGAGAATCTAGACCATCCATGCTGCCGGCCACCAGGACATAAGTGGAGGGCCATGTGACTCTGGTGGGAGACTATTTGGGTGGTCCAGGTGATGGGAGAGATTGTCTCGTGAGAGGCAGATAGAACTTGGACCTCTGTGGCCGAGCATTGTGAGGACGTGGCCTATGTCCACGACCCAGGTGGATATCCTTGGCAGTCAGAGGTGTGGTCTGGACCCTGTTTTTGTTTTAACTGTTCAAGGATAGTCAGAGTCCTCCCAGTAGGATGGATGCACGGATGGATGAATGGGATGGGATGGATGGATGTTTGGATGGATGGACAGATGAATGAATAGATGGGTGAGTGAGAAGGTTAATGGGATGCATGGGATGGGATAGATGGGTGAGTGGATGGATGGATGGAAGGACAGAGGGATGGATGGATAGACAGACACATGAGAGGGGATTTGCTAGGGTGAAGTGGCTCATGTGATTATGGAGTCTGAGAAGTCCCACAACAGGCCATCTACAGGCTGAAGAATTGGTTGCGTGGCTCAGTCCACGTCTAAAGGTGTCAGAGCCAGGGAAGCTGATGATGTAACTGTTAGTTCAAGGCCAAAGGCCTGAGAATGAATTTGCCTTTCCTCTGCCTTTTTGCTATATTGGATGGTACCCACAGTGGGCCAGGACAATCTTACTTACTTAGATTGTTTCCATGCCAGCCTCTTCTGGAAATACCCTCACAGACATACCCAGAAATGATGCCTTGCTGGCTGTCTGGGTCTCTCCTTTAATCCAATCAGGGTGTCACCTAAACTCTCCTGCCATCCTGTTTTTCATGTCCACCTGTGTCTCCTGTTCCTCGTCCCCTCCTCTTCTGCTGAGTGTGTGTCTTGGCCTTCCTCTTCTGGGAGAAGGACACCCACCTTGGTGTCCTGGGACCTCACAAGTGAGCTGGTTGCTGGGGACGTTTTGGGAGAGGCGGGCAGCACAGCTCCTTGGGAGGAGAACAGAGTTTGGACCAAGAAGCTCCATGCCGGCCTTGGCCTTTAATGGATTCATTCAGCAGATACAACACTGACTGCTCCTTTTGTGCCTCCTGCGGTTTATCCCTGAGGGTTCAGAGAGAACAAAACAGACAGGACGTTGGGAGTCAAACATGCATTGACAAGAAACTGTGGAGATTGGTAGTGTCAGGGCAAGATTAAAACCAGGAAATGAGGGTGAGAGTGTCCGAGGGAGCTGTCTGAGAGATAGCAGTTGGGGACGGCCTCCCTAAGGAGGTGGCATTTGAACAGAAACTTGCATCAAAGGAGGCAATGAGCCGTGTGCATAGCCAGGGGGAGGAACAACCAGTACAAACTCCCTGGGGTGCTCATGGATCTGTGAGGGGGCCGTGTGTCTTGAGCAGAGGGAGTAAGGGGAAGAATGGGCAGAGATAAAAGTGGAGTGTTAGCAAAGGTCTTGCAGGATGTGGAAGAGAGTTGGGGCTGGATTCCAGGTACAGAGGGAAGACAGACAGGTTTTATGCAGGGCAGTGGTGGGATGTAAGTTGTGGGGGTTTTTTTGTTTTTAGTTGGAGTCTCACTCTGCCACCCAGTATGGCAGTTTTAAAAAAAATTAAACATAATGACTGTTTCACCAGCCATTCCATGCTAGGCAGCCATCCACAAGAACTGAAAACATACGTTCATAAAAAGTATGTACAAGATTGTTCATAGGTGCTGTGTTTGTAATGGCTTAAACTGGAAGTTACCCAAGTTTCCCTTAGCAAGTGAACAGATAGATGTCTGCAAAGTGGAATGCTTCTAAGCTATCCACAGGAGCAGACTATTGATACAGCAACATGGACAAATCTCAAAATAATCATGCTGAGTGAAAGAGATCAGACAAGAAAGAGCACACACTACATGGTTCCATTTGTATGTCATTCTGGAGGATGAAACTATGGTGATGGGAGTGAGATTGGTGGTGGCTGGGGGTGAGGAGATTGGGGGAGACACACATGCTGGGGTATTTTTTTCAGCCTTTCCATCTGTTGTCCTCTTAAATACAGAGATTTTTGAACACTTCTTTTACTGTACTTGATGGACATGGATAAATAAAAATTACCTATTGGTGTATCTAGTTAAAAGAAAAAACCCAATGTGATGCTCTTTCTAGACTTGAAAGGAAGACTTGAAGGTGAGTTGACAAGTGACAAGTGTTAGTGGGTAAACTCTCAGGTGAATGCTGGAAGGTGGAGTGCAGAACCAGGGCTTGTTTGTAAGGGAGAGTTCCTTGTGACTGCAACAGCTACAGGTTCCAAGTGAGCCCCTGTATGTGGTTCTAGAAGACTGAAGCACCAGCAGATCACCAGTCTCAGAGATGAAACTTTGCAAAGTGGTGGCCATCCTTTGGCAAAGTCTCAAACAAAATATAGTCTTTCCTCAATTTGCATGATAGTGGCATTCTGAAAAAATAAAATAAAATGGAAGTATATTTAAATACTGTGTATGGATTGGCATCTGAAAATGGAGGTAGACTCGAGACTTCGGTAATTTTAGGCAGGCTTTCCACCTACATTGATGCCAGGTGGGATCTTCTTTTGAGTCTGTCTTGCACAGGCCAGGACAGCAATGATGGTCAGGGACCATCTGGGTCCTGGATTCACACAGGTGTAGAGCACAGGACAGAGGACTGAGCTATGGAGTGGTGCCTGGAGGAATTGACCACTGCCAGCCTGGCCAGGAAGCACAGTGTGGCAGGGAGGGTGGAGATAGATCGGGATTGGCTCTGCCTTGAGGCTGGTAGCCCAAGTGCTGAGGACACACATATGTCCCCAGGCCATGGCAACATGTCTAGATCCCAGGATCCAGATGCCCCAAACCAAAGACACAACTCACAGTAAGATGTGTGCAAGGCTTAGGGGGCCCAGCAGCCAGCTCCAGAGGTAGCTCACAGACAAATACAACATTTATCAAAAATATTACAGAAGCAGCAGGTTTATCACCTTAAAACATGTATTAGAACACCATAAACTTGTCTGACCAGTAGACCCAGGCCACAATGTCTGAATTATATTTAAATGCTGAAAATTCTGCAGACATTCCTGTTTTATCACCAATTAAAAAAATTAGCTTTATGTATTAATTATTATCTTAGATCCCATGGAAGTATTACATACACATAATACATATAGACACATAGAAGAAGATCTTATAACTTGCATGAAGATTTTTCAAATAGTACTTTTTTCCCTCAGATTGTCTTTCAATTACCTGTTTCATTACCATAAGCAATTGTTAGCTAGGCAATCCTAAATTTGCACTTCTAAAGAGATGACTCTTAGATAAAATAGGGTAGAAAATGTATATCTTAAAGACACAGGGCTGAGACTTTAGAGCTAAATATTGTATGACCACTTGCCCAAACCAGGGAAGGAGGGTGTAGGTAAATGCCCAGTTAAGACTACCTGGTCAGGAAAAGGATTTTACAAACAGATAAGACTTGTTATGTAAATTTAATCTAGCAACTTAATCCTCCCTCTCTTTTGGGTGCAAAAGCAGACACTTTTAGAAATGGAGACTTCCTTTATATTTATACTTGTATATTTCTTTTACAAAAGAATTTTTTTTCTTTGAGTTGGGGTCCCACTCTGTTTCCCAGGCTGGAGTGCTGTGGCACAGTCACAGCTCCCTATAGCCCTGACTCCATCTTGGCTTAGGTGTTTTCAGTTAAAGAACATTTCTCTGAGCAGACCCAGAGCCAGAACAGATTTAGAACAACTCTGGGGCTGTCACAGAGTTGAATAATATTTTTGGCAAAAAGGGAAATTGACATACAGAAAACAATTATATTGGTTACAGCTCTGACTTTGGCCTATTTGAATTTGGTTTGAACAGTTGGCCACTTTTGATTGGCTGACACTTGCTATTTGCTATCAGAGTAGGCTGCAGTCTGTTTACACTCCTGGTTAGGTTATACTTCATGTATGGAGAAGCCTTCAGGCCAAACTTAAGATATGTCAGGAGGCAGTGTTAGGCTAAACTTAACATGGTCACGAGGCTCCCTGATTGTGGGGATATCCCCTGCGTCTGGCCTAGAGCAGGTGCTCAGAGTATTAGTGGAGTGGTCCACTGCTGCCTTGCCCACGTCTAAATCAGGTCAAGTCAGGGAGTCCCTTTTGCCTGTCGGTCTCCTCCTTCCTGCCCTCCATGTTGTCCTGTTCTGGGTGGTTTTCTCCTGACACCATCCTCCCAGTTTTCCTTTCCTCTCCTGGCAGCACCATTCTGAGGCTACACTTGTTTCTCCTGCCTTCCAGGGGCTCCTTTCTCCCTGGCAGGCCTCTCGTTGACCAGCTATTTTCCTTTCCTGGCTTAGCCTTAGCTGACCCTTCCACTGCACTTGCCCTTCACCACCCACACTGGGACCCTTCTCTCTGCTGCTCAAGTGAGACCTTCTCCCAAGCTCGGTGATGGCCCATCTCCTGGCCACCAAGAGCAGTCAGGGGTCTGGGCAGTCCACGTGGAACAGAGCCAACTCCTGCTCAGGGAGTGCTGTACAGAATGGGCAAGGGTTGAGCGGCTGTCTTCCTCCTTGCCAAGAAGGCCTGTATAGGTTAAAGGGAATCATACTCAAGGTCTCAGAAACCCAGCTTAGGGGGAAGCCAGTGAAGTGAGCAAGGAAGGCCCTCATGTGGTGACAATGTCAATGGAAAACAGAAATACTGCTTGGTGGCCGGTAGAATAATGCCCCTTTCTCAAGGGTGTCCACTTCCTGATCCCCAGAACCTGTGAATATGTTGCTCTACATGGCAAAAGGTTGTAGGTGTGATGAGGCCTTTTTTTTTTTGAGTTGGGGTCTCTGTCCTAGACTCAGATGATCCTTCTGCTTCAGCCTTCCAAGTAGCTGGGACTGTAGGCATGCACCACCATGTCTGGCTAATTTTTAAATTTTTTGTAGAGATGAGGTCTCCCTATGTTGCCCAGGCTAGTCTTGAATGCCTGGGCTCAAGGAGTCCTCCTGCCTTGTCCTCTTAAGGTGCTGGGATTATAGGCATGAGCCCCTGTGCCCGACCAGACTCTTAATTGTGTTGCATTGATCTATATATGCCTGGCCCTGTGCCTGTCTTGATTACTCTTGTTTTGTAGTAAGTGTTAAAATCAGGAAGTGAGAGTCCTACAAATTTGTTCTTCTTTTTCAAGATTGCTTGGGCTATTCTGTGTTCCGTGAGTTTCCATATGAATTCAAGAGTAAATTTCAGTTTCTGCAAAGATGTCAGCTGGGGTTCTGATGACCTTGCATTGAATCTGTATATCAGTTTGGGGCTGGCACTTTTCTCAGTCTTTCGTGTGTAGTGACTTGTTTAATTTTCACAAGAATCCTTGGAGATAGGTCCTGCTTTTATTCTCATTTCGCACAAGAGGAAACTAAGGCCTAGAGAGGTTGAGGAACTCGTGGCTCCTGAGTCCATGTTCGTAACCACTGTGCTAAGCTGCCTCTCTGCAGTGCTTGTTGTCGTGGTTCTGCCTTCCCTCAAGGGTGGTGTTCCTGGCCCTCCTCCCAGGTGGGGGCTGTGTCTCTGTGGCACTCCACATCTGCCTCCCCCTTGTGTTCCAGGCAGCCGAGAAAGATCGTGTATACCTCCAAGGAACCTGCCAAGCCCAAGGGGGGCTCCAAGGTAGATGTGAACGAGGAGGCGGAGGCCTTGATTATCAAGTCCCCACAGAAGGAGCGAGACCCCTCACTGTTCAAGGTGTTATACAAGACTTTTGGACCCTACTTCCTCATGAGCTTTCTGTTCAAGGCCCTGCACGACTTGATGATGTTTGCCGGCCCGGAGATCTTAAAGTAAGAGCTCTTCCCTCCCACTGGCCTCTCCCGCCTCCTCGCCTTGACTTTCCCTTTGTGTTACCGGAGCTGTGGGGCTATGTGGTACACAGAAGTGGGCCCCCAGCCAAGCATGTCCTTTTTGACCTGCTTTCTGGGAATTTCCTGAATTCCCATCTTAGTTAAGGTCATTTTGGTTGCAAGGGACAGAAACTCACAAGCTCCCCTGAGCCACGTTTTGGTTGCAAGGGATGGAAACCTACGAGCTCCCCTGAAGCCAAAGTGGGGAGGGTGTGGGATTGTCTTGGGAGAAACCAAGAGCCAGGAAATGCCAGCAGGCCTCGTTTTCACTCAGTCAGGAACTGGGAAGTCAGAAGGAGGGCCCTCTCTCCTCCCTCGCCTTCGCTTCTCTGTCTCTTCCTGGGACTGCGCACTCATTCTTTTTCCCTCCTCACCTCTGCCTTCCCTGGGTGGTCCCCTTCGGCTGCCTTGCTGGTGAGACAGAGCAGTCCGTGCAAGTATCCTGGGGCAGAGGTCCCTGTCGTGAGTGGTTTGGGCCCCCTGCTTGGCTGGATCACCCCTGTGGGCCCGCTTTTCCACCTGTGAGCTTGGGGTGATAGGGCCCGCCTCGCCTGGTCGGAGAGGGTTGCAGTATTGATGCGGAAGCACTCTTGCCTCCCACGTTGTAGGTGCTGTGCTCAGGTCATTCTGGGCCCTTCCCCACTTGTCCACAGGTTGCTCATCAACTTCATGAACGACACGAAGGCCCCAGACTGGCAGGGCTACTTCTACACGGCGCTGCTGTTCGTCAGCGCCTGTCTGCAGACGCTCGTGCTGCACCAGTACTTTCATATCTGCTTTGTCAGTGGCATGCGCATCAAGACCGCCGTCATTGGGGCTGTTTACCGGAAGGTAGGGGACCGGGCCATTGGGTCCTGGGCTGGCTCCAGGCATCTCCTTCCATGGGCTCTCGATTCGCAGGGACTTGGCCGGGTCACTCTGGGACCCATGTGGAGATTTCCAACCTAACTCCCAAGCGGTAGAGTAAGGGTGGCCTCGATGACCACAGGAGACAGGATATGACAGTTGGGCATGGTGCCTTAGCAGCGCTGATCCTGAGAGTGCAGAGTGTCTGTGTGCCCTGTGCCAGCCATGGATCATTAAGTGTCTTAGATGGTCAGTGGCCCTCGGTATAGGGACTCTGAGTTCAGGTCTTGGTGTGCAGGTCTTGCTGTGCTGCTCGTGTTCTATTCTTGCTCTCAATTTGAAATGAGCAGTGCAGAGAACTGAGACATGTCCATTCCCTACTTGATAGAGTTCGTAGCAGGTGTTTGTGCCCATCAATTTTCATATAACCATTAAGTTATTGCCATATCATTAACATTAATTAACATCAATTATAGTTTTAGCCCCCCCCATGAATTTCACTTATATACTCATGAAAATCCCACATACACAGTCCCAAAATGGTTATGTAATACAAGACCTGTCTGTCAAATTACAAAAAATCCCAAATTGACCAAAAAATAAAAATTAAAAACCCATAAAACAAAAGCCCACAGTTAGTGCCAGACTGATTCTCTCTCAGACAGCCCACTCCATTTTTCACACTACATAAAGTGTGCTCTTTTTATAATCTAGTCACTTAAAGTTATTTATGTCACATTTTCAATCCTTTGTCAACAAAACACAGAAGCTGAAGACCACAACACAAATCCTCCTATCCTTGTAACACATCCAGCTTTAAAGAAACCAAATCAACTTCTTATTCCTTTCAATTTTTTTTTTTTTTTTGGCTTCTGGCACAAGGGCACCACCTGGCCCATGGGTTGGAATAAGATGTCCATAGTTGGGAAAGATGGACTAGACCAGAGGCTTTCAATGCTGTTGGTGAACGAGACTCACCTGGGAAGCTAACAACTTCTAGTACACAGGTTGTGTCCAGACCAAGCGAGCTCCAGGGTGAGCCCTAGGGCCCAGTATTTTTAAATTCCCCATGTGATGGTGTGCAACTGTGTTTGAGAACCAGTAGCCTAGACTGGCGGTTCTCAATCAAGCAAGCCCCACGCCCACTCTGATGTGTGGCATTGTCTGAAGACATTTTTAATGATCACCACTGGGTGTGAGGTCATCTAATGGGTAGCAGCCAGGGATGTGCCAAACATCCTGCAGTGCACAGGACAGTCCCTGTGTAGGTTAAAGGGAATCATTCCTTGTGCTGGTCCCACAAGGAATGATCCAGCCCTGTATGTCAGGAATGCCAGGCTTGAGAGACCCTCTCCTGGGCTCTTGGTCCTTCAGTGGTATCTGGGACCAGTAGCATCGGCACAACCTGGGATCTTATTATGAATACAGAATCCCAGGTTCCACCCCACATGTGCTCAGTCAGAACCTAAGGTCCTGAAGGTCTCTTCCAAATTGAACTACTCAAGGTGGGGAGGCCATGAGTACATTTGATAAAAACATGGGCTTTGTGATGACACAGGCGGACTGGGCTAACAGATAAGCCGGAGGGGGAGGAGGAAGGATCTGGGTATTTCCACCCCTGAGAGCCTTCTTCCTTGCAACAGGCCTGCAGGGAGAGTACAGCGTCCTCCTCTGCTACACTGACCCTCTGACCCTCCCCTTTGCTTCACAGGCCCTGGTGATCACCAACTCGGCCAGAAAATCCTCCACGGTCGGGGAGATCGTCAACCTCATGTCTGTGGACGCCCAGAGGTTCATGGACCTGGCCACGTACATTAACATGATCTGGTCAGCCCCTCTGCAAGTCATCCTTGCTGTCTACCTCCTGTGGCTGGTGTGTGTTTGACGTAGTTCCCCATGGCCTGTAGGGAGGGACTTCCATGTGTGGGCAATGGGGCGAGGGAGTGGGTGTGGATGATAAGGCCTTCTGTAGCTCACTGGTGCTTCTTGCCACTATTTGCATTTTATTTGCTGGTCCATGAACTAGTTCCTGGGTATTTTCTTTTTTTACCTGAGTTGTTGGGTTTATGTCATCTTTGGTGGCATGGTATGTGTTTGCATTTGTCTTTTCTTGATGGTGTATGTAATTAATAACTCTACCACGAACGTACTGTCTTTCTCCCATTGTATCCTCCCAAATGCTAACCACACCCATTTATTCATGAGTCCCTAATTATATTGGCAAGATTCTCTCAGTTGCAAGGGGTAGAAAATCGATCTTAAAATAGCCTAAGCACATTAAGGGAAATTTGGGGCTATAGATACCTGAAAAATCTAGGGATTTAGCTTCAAGCATGTATGGATCCAGGCCATGGAGCAGTATTGTAAGTCCTCGATCTCACTCATTCATCATGTCTTGGCCCTGTTTTCCTCTGAATTAGCTTCATTCTCAGACATTTGATTCATTTCCCCAAATGATCTCCATAGGTTTAGACTCACTCATATCATCTTTACAGATACAAGTGCCAAAGAAGAGAGAAGACCACATTTCTCTACCTCAGCTAGAGTCCTGGGACACTCTGATTGGCCTGCCATAGTCTTATTCACATCCCTGAACCAATCACTGGGGCCCAGGAGGCAGTGTGCTCTGATGGGCCAACCTGGGTCACATGCCTTCTGCCACTGCAGAAGGGATCTAATTGGCAACCCCTCCATGTGGGGAGGACATTCTCCAAATAAAGAGATAAATGGAGAGGCTTATAACATGCTTTGTGCTTTCCCACCTCTGGGCCTTTGCACATGCCTTTCCTGCCACTAGAAATTCCCTTCCTCCTATAAACTGGTGATATCCCACCCATCCTTCAAGGTGTAACAAATGCCACTTCCATTGATCTCCCCTTCCTTCTCAATTGGATAGACTTCTTTCTTTTTTGAATTCCAGTAACTTTAGAAACTCCTCTGATTTTGCTTTTATTTTATTTTATTTTTTTGAGTTGAGGTTTCACTTTGTCCCCAGGCTGGAGTACAGTGGCATGATCACAGGTTACCACAGCCTTGACCTCCTCGGCTCAGGTGATCTTTCCACCTTAGCCTCTTGAGAAGCTGGGAATCTAGGCATGCACCACACCTGGCTAATTTTATTGACTTTTTTGTAGAGACGAGATCTCAAACTCCTGGGCTCAAGGAATTTTCCTGCCTCAGCCTCCCAAAGTGCTAGGATTACAGGCATGAGCCACTGCACCCAGCCTGGTCTCTTAGGGGGCAAGTTTGTGCCTGTTTGGGAACAACTGCTTGGCAACAAAAATAAGATTTCTCTATTTGACCATCAAAAACACGGTATAGGGCCATAGATGATGGTACAGGCTCTGGAATCAGGCTGCCTGGGTTCAAATCCTGTTTCCTCTATTTCCTGTTTTCTGGCTTTGGGCAAGTTACTTTGTGTCTCTATAAATAATGTCTCTACAAATAATGATAAAAGTCGTTCCTCTCGTCATAGGGATATTGGGACAATTAAGTGAACCAATGCAAGTTCTATTCACAGATTTCATAGAAGAGTACTGTTCACAGAATAGTATCTAGCATGTAGCCATACTCAGTATGTTTTAGCTACTAGACTCCTCAAGGCCGGGCACAGTGGCTCACACCTGTAGTCCTAGCCCTTTGGGAGGCAGAGGCAGGAGGATTGCTTGAGTCCAGGAGTTTGAGACCGGTCTGGGCAACATAGTAAGACTTCATTTCTTAAAAAGAAAAAAAAAAAAAAATCCTGGGCATGGTGTTTTGTGCTTATAGTTCCAGCTACTTGGGAGGATGAGGTGGGAGGATCACTTAAGTCCAAGAGGTCAAGGCTGCAGTGAGCTAGGTTTGTGCCTTTGCACTCCAGCCTGGGCAACAGAGCGAATAAAAAAAAGAAAAGGAAGGAAAAGAAAAAGGATCTTCAAAGGTAGTTGAATCTTACACTGGGCATAGGTATGTCCCAAAACCATGTGGAACAGCAGCAGAGCCCCTGAGGGTGACGTCTTTGAAGGGGCTCACACTCCTGTTTTCTTGAATGTTTAACAGAAGAAAGAAGATCACATGATCCTGGAGTTCCATGTGTACGATTTCAGCTAAGTACAAGCACACTGGGCTGACTTCTCAAGGTGTCTCTTTTAATTCCTGTAACTTAGAAGGAAGTCGAAAAGATGTAGATCTGTATCTAGTCTCAGGCCCTGGCCACTTAATCTTTCTGGGACAGAGTTCCCTTATCTGAAAATGAGTTAATAGAACAAATCTAAACTTTTCATCTATAAATCCATAAATCAAAAGGCTCTGAAAACTGAACACTTTTCTTTAACTTACTTGGTGGCAAAATTTAACCTGAATTGATGAAGTCTTGCTAATCTTGCTTATCCCTCCGTGTGAATAATTGTGTTTTGCTTTTGAAAAATCAATGCATTTTGATCCTGGAGTACTGTGCTGGGCCCTGCAGGGTTATAAGGGTGCATATGACATAGGCAGCTGTGTCAAGGGGCCCCGAGACCCCATACACAAATTCGATGACTCTCTAGGAGGACTCTCAGGACTCAGAATGTAGTCATGCCCATGGCCATAAATTATTTATTTATTCTTTTGAGCCTCACTCTGTCACCTGTGCTGGAGTACAGTGGCATGATCACAGGTCACTGCAGCCTTGACCTCCTGGGCTCAGGCGATCCTTTTGCCTCAGCCTCCCGAGTAGTTGGGACGACTGGTGCATGCCACCATGCCCAGCTAATTACTTGATTCTTTTGTAGAGATGAGGTCTCACTATGTTGCCCAGGCTGGTCTCAAACTCCTTGCCTCAAGCAATCCTCCTACCTTGACCTCCCAAAGTGCTGGGATTATGGGTGTGAGCCATCGCACTCGACCTTGTGGCTATAATTTAATACAGAAATATTAGCAAAAAAGGCTCAGGAGGTCACATCTGGGGAAACCAAGTACACAGCTTCAGGAGTCTTTTCCCGGTAGAGTCACATAGGGCACACTTGATTCCTCAGTTGGGATTCCACATGTGAAGTGTTCTCAACCAGGGATGCCCGACAGAGGCTCAGTGCTCAGGTTTTTTTGGGGGGGACTGGTCACATAGGCACCATTTGCTTGCCATGTACCTAGTATCCCACAAGAAAAGGGAGTGTTCAGCACAAGCCATATTGTTTGTACAAACACGTTAGTCATCGAGAGCCCCTCTTGCCAACTCTGGAAATCGCGGAAGAATTCCTGAAATACAAGGTTCCAGATGCCAGCCAAAGGCCAAACTCGTAGGCAGTCTCCAGGCAAGAGAGGCAGTTAGCTGGCCCCGCCCAGTGTTTTCTACTCACTGCCTCATGCCTTTGTAAAATGCTAAAGATCTAATCTGCAAACCTCATCTGTCCCCTAGGGCTTCGGGTGAGGGATCATGGGCCTGCGTATTATTTTTGTTTTGTTTTGTTTTTGAGTTGGAGACTCTGCTGCCCAGGCTGGAGTGCAATGGTGTGATCATGGCTCACTGCAGCCTTGACCTAATGTGCTCAGGCAGTCTTTCTACTTCAACCTCCCAAATAGCCAGGACTACAGATCCACACCACCATGCCTGACTAGTTTTTTGTAGAGCTGAGGTTTTGCTGTGTTGTTCAGACTGGTCTCAATTTCCTGGGCTCAAACTATTCTCCTCCACTCTGCCTCCCAAAGTGCTGAGATTATAAGTGTGGGCCACCATGTACCTGCATATTCTTTTTTTTTGAGTTGGAGTCTTACTCTGTCACCCGGACTGGAGTGCAGTGGCTGTTCCTGGCCACCGCAGCCTCGACCTGCTGGGCGCCAGCGGTCCTTCCGCCTCAGCCTTCCAAGTAGCTGGAACTACAGGCGCATGCTACCACACCCGGCTAATTTTTTTGATTTATTATAGAGATGAAGTCTTACCAAGTTGCCCAGGCGGGTCTCGAACCCCCGGGTTCAGGCAGTCACTCACCTCGGCCTCCCAAGGCACAGGATTGCAGGCTGAGCCACGGAGCCCGGCGTTATACCTGCATATTCTTAATGGGGCTGGGAGGACTTCGGGACAGGCCCAGGAATAAATCTGGAAACTCGTAACACCCCATCGCTGGGTAAAAGTAACATATCTTGCCCTGAGCTTGATCAGTGGAATCTCCTGAGGGGATTGGCCTGTGTGACCGGTGGAGGTCCTTGGTTTCTCCTGTCTGGTGAGTGATGAGGAGTCTCCTTTCCTTCCTCAGAACCTGGGCCCTTCCATCCTGGCTGGGGTGGCTGTGATGGTCCTCATGGTGCCCCTTAATGCTGTGATGGCGATGAAGACCAAGACCTACCAGGTAGGGTATCCGTCTCCGCAGGGCTCCGTGCCAGGCCTCACCTGAGGCCTCTTCTTGCAGGTTTTAGCCGAGTTCCTTCTGCCCTGTCCCTGGGGTTCTCAGCCTCGCCTGCCTGTTGGAATCCCCTGGGGAACTTTAGCAGAGCTGATGCCTGGGCTCCTTTCTTGGGATTTTGATTCGCTCAGTGTGGGTAGGACCGGGGCATCAGGATGTCTTAAAGCGCTTGACATAGACCTAGTGGGCCAGTCTATGTCAAGAGCTTTAAGACATAGACCTAGTGGGCCAGTCTATGTCAAGGGCCGGTCTTGACATAGACCTAGTGACTACGATGTCCTTGAGCCTCCGAGAGCATCCTTGTTTCCCCTGGAGTTAATCATTTTGTGTATGTGACTCAGTTTTCAAGAGTTGACTAATAATTATCCACTGCTTTTCCCCCCTATATTAAGATCTTACCTTATGCTAGGCACAGTGTTCAATCAAATCTTTTGTAGAGAAATTTTATATTTTGAAAAATTTTAAATACTTAAGTAATAGAGTAAGTGCTTTCTGGTTGTGAACAATTTCAAATAGGACAAAAGTATACAGATTAAAGGGGAGGATATCCCCTTCCCCGTCCGCTCAATGACTGTGAAGGCATCCAAGCAAGTCCATCTGGATCTTTCCATGGACTTATATACAGACCTGATTAACTATAGAGCTAAATTTGGTGTGTATGTATGTGTTTCCACGTCTTTTTTTTACCCAAACTGGCCTTCCTGGCAGCATGATTTTACCCTTTGGCAACATGCCTCAAGGACCTTTCTGGACTACACCCACTAGTCTGAATTTGTTCTCTTGAACTGGCGCTGAATGGTCCATAACACAGGGGGGCCCGTTTATGTCTCCTCTCCCCTGTTGATGGACATTATGATGTGCTGTGGAATTTCAGGTGGGAGCACTCGGCTGTGTTCACGGTGCCGGGGAGTGGGGTTCCAGGACCTGGGCCCAACGGAAGAAGCAGCCTTGGGGGTGGGGTACAGGTGGGATGGACAAGGCCGGAGCTTGGGGCCTCGGTTGCCTCTGGATATGTGGGCTTCCCTGGGCAGCCCATCCCTAAACCAGCCTCCGAGTCACAAAGCTTAAAGCCTCCTGGTCTGTGACCTGAGGATGGCCATAGCACAGGATGGTACCATTCTTGTGAGCACAAATGGCCGAGTGCACATAGAATGTTTAGAAGATAACCCAACGTGTGGAAATTGCTGAGTGGTATGAAGAATACTTAACTGTGCTGCCTGGGCATCTACCGGTTGGAACCAGAGCCAGTGGGTACAGAAACTTTTCTCTGTTTTAACAACCATGTGAGAATATGGTGAAGAAAAATACCATCAGTGTCTCTGTTGTGTTTGGGTCAGCAGAGTAGGGCTGTGTTGCTCTTCCCTGGACCCCCGAAGGGTATTTCTTGCCTCAGTTTCTTGATTCTGAATTGAATAACCTTCTTTAATATATGTTTATTCTTTATTATTATTATTATTATTATTATTGTTTTGAGTCGGAGATTTGCTGTGTTGCCCAGGCTGGAGTGCTGTAGAATGATCATAGCCCACTGCAGCCTTGACCTCCTGGGCTCAGGCAATCCTTCTGCCTCCCAAGTAGCTGGGACTATAGGTATGTACCACCACACCCGGCTAATTATTTTGCTTTTTGATTTTTTGTTTTTGTAGAGACGAGGTCTTGCTGTGTTGCCTAGACTTGTCTCACACTCCTGGGCCCAAATAATCCTCCCACCTCAACCTCCCAAAGTTCTGGGAGTGAGCCACCGTGCCTGGCCCCTCATGTCTAATCTAACACAATTTGAAGCAGTGTGTTTTCCTTGAAAGTGAACTGAGTTCTTTGGTGTGGTTTGGGGCCGAGAGTCGGGCTCCCAGGGATGATACGGTGGGCTCTCCCATCCCCAGGAAGGCCTGTGTTTGACAGGTGCTGATGTTATGTGATGGTCAGATGCCAGGGCCATCCCTAGGCCTGCCGCCAACTGCCCTTGTCTTTGAAGGTAGCCCACATGAAGAGCAAGGACAGTCGGATCAAGCTGATGAACGAGATCCTCAACGGGATCAAGGTGCTCAAGCTGTATGCCTGGGAGCTGGCGTTCAAGGACAAGGTGCTGGATGTCCGGCAGGAGGAGCTGAAGGTGCTGAAGAAGTCTGCCTACCTGGGTGCCGTGGGGACCTTCACCTGGGTCTGCACGCCTTTCCTGGTGAGTGCAGCCGTGCATTTCCTGGCCCACGCTGAGGTTTTGTTTTGTTTTCATCACTAAATAGTTTTCAAAAGTCACTTTGTTGGCAAGGCCTTCTCTTTTTCTCTCTCTCTTTTAAGAGACGGCCTCACTCTGTTGCCCAGGCTGGAGTGCAGTGGTGTGATCTTATTTCACTGCAGCCTTGACCTTCTGACCTCAAGTGATCTTCCCAATAATTGGGCCTACAGGCATATGCCACCCTGCCCGGCTAATTTTTATTTGTTTGTTTGTTTGTTTGTTTGTTTTTAGAGACAATTCTTGCTAGGTTGCCTAGGTTGGTCTTGAACTCCTACCCTTAAGTGATCCCCAAATGCTGAGATTATAGGCATAAGCCACTGTGCCTGGCCTGACTCCTCTTTTTAAAATTGTCACCCTCCCTATTTGATTTCATTCACAACACGTAGCACCATCGAGCCCACCACGTCTTGAACTGTTTTTGACCTGTTCACCGTGAGATAAGGAGTTTGCCCCTGGATGTAAACCAGAGCCCTCTGCTTCCTTAAATATTAAGAGTAAAAAACGTTAGCCGAACTCATTGGTGTGCATGCTGCCGTAGTTGGTGTACGTGATGGTGCCATCTCTGTATCTTGTTGCCATGTGGTCACACGGACTAGACTGTCAGTCACCTATGGACCCATGTCTGGTGGCACTGCCACTTAACAACCATTTTGCCTATTGTCTGTCTCTCCCCACTAGGATGTCAGCCCTAGGTGCACAGGGATTTTTGTCTTTTCTGTTGACTACTGTATCCTCAGTGCCTAAAACAGTGCATAGTAGGTGCTCAACAAATATTTGTATTTCACTACAAAAAAATTCAAATCATACAGCAAGATACAAAATGAAAAGCATATTGCCTTTCCCTCTCCCTGTCCTTCTCCTTCAAAGTGACAGTTTTGTGTATCTTTTTCAGACAACGAAGTGTATGCTTAGAAGTATTTAAAAAATATTTTTGGTATATTCAAATGGAATCACACTACACATAGTGTTCTAGCACTTTCTATCTCTTTTGGTAGTTAATAATGTATCCTCTTGGCTCAACCATTCAGATCTGCATCATTCTTTTTTGTTTTTGTGTGTGTGTTGTTCTTTTTTGTTTTTTGTTTTGTTTTGTTTTTTGAGTTGGGGTCTCACTTTGTTGCCCAGGCTGTATTGCAGTGACAAGATCATGGCTCATGACAGCCTCGACCTCCTGGGCTCAGGCGATCCTCCCACCCTTTGAGACTCACAAGTTGATCCTGCCACTCACAGTGTGATTCATGGGCAGGTAGTATCCCCATCACCTGGTGGTTGTTAGAAATGCAGATTCTCAGGGCCTCCCCTGACTAACCGAAACAGAATTTGGCTCTTAGCAAGCTTTCTAGGTGGTTTGTATACACTGGAAAGTTTGAGAGACACTGGTGAAAAGTAGGAGTCAACAAACTATTTCTGTCAAGAGCTAGTTAGTGAATATTTTGGGCATTCTGGACCATGCGGTCATGTTGCACATGCTCTTCTCTGCCAGGGTAGTGGCCAAGCAGCCATAGATAGTTTGTAAACAGATGAGTGTGATTGTATTCTTGCAAAATTGTACTTATTGACACGGACATTTGAGTGTTATAATTTGCATGTGTTGGGGTATTCTTTGGATCCTTTTTTCCCAGCCATTTTAAAATGTGAGATCCATTGCCAGCTCATGGCTCACATAAACAGGTGTGTGCTAAATGTGGACCCTGGGCTGTCTCTGACCAGCCCTCGGCTCAGAAGGTGGAGGGTTCTCCTGAGTCCGGTCACCTGCTGCATTCTGCTGCCAGTTCACGGTGGCACCTGAGGCCTGTCAATTCCTCCTCCAGCTCTGGATTTTGTCATATGAAAAAGAAGGGGTTAGGCCACAAGCATGTCAAACACCACGCCCTACCCTCCCTCTGTGCCTGTGGCTGGCACCCACCATCGGTCCTAGTGTTCTTTCCTACCGAGCTGTGTTCTAGCAGTCTTTCGGGTGACCACTATCCATGACCTGGAGTCGAACAAGAAACAGCATCTCTGTCCTGGCCTGCGACCCTGAGCTCCCTTTGACTCCATCACCCCCACGGTCTGCATTGCTTGTTGCATCGTCCCTATTTATTTATCTTTAATTATTTTTCATTTTTGTCAAGACAGGTTCTCACTGTGTTACCCAGGCTGGTCTCAAATTCCTGGCCTCAAGTGATCCTCCTGCCTTGGCCTCCCAAACTTGCTAGGATTACAGGTGTGAGCCACCGCACCTGGCCGGTTGCATTGTTTTGCACTCCAGACCCCGACTTTCTGGGCATTGAAGAACTCCCTTTGTTTTTTAAAAGTAAAAGTAATATTAGACTAGATGGAAGTTATGTAGGGTGTCCAAGTTATTATTTTTCTTCAAACTGTTTGATAGTTTCTTTGTTAGTATGTGGGACACATTTTATTCTAAAGATTGAAAGTCATGCTTTCACAGGGAAAAAAAGGCTAAAACCATGCTAGGCAGTCTACATCCAGCAGGGCTCCTCAGCCTCAGGACTGTTGGCACTGGGGCATGTCCTTTGTCTCTGTGTTGAGGACCAGTCCAGGTATGGGAGGATGTTGGCAGCATCACCAGCCTCTGTGTCTAGGAGGATATTAGTGGCATCCGGCGTCTGTGCCCTGGAGGAGGTGGGCAACAAGGTTAGTTTTTGTATCGTGTGCCACTCAGGAGCGAGGTGGGGAGTTTCTCATAACCTGCTGCTATGCACATCAGATCCTCTGACACAACCTGTGGTTTCTGGGTCATCACCCAGACAGTTGTCCCTTGACTCATTGCCTCCAGCCCTGGCCTCTGTGGGAAACCACAGTGAGAGACGCTTACAGCAGGGCCGGCTCTTCTGGGCCTCTGATGGGGGCGGCAGGGGGCTTCTAGATGCAGAGGTCGTTGAGCTGTTGGCAAGAAACAGATGAGCCTTGGTGTCAGCCAGAGACCTCAGTTCCAGGCCAGGCAGCAGTGCCTCTGACTGCATTAGGGTGAGGTATGTGGCCTTCAGTGTCTCTGGATGGTGTTGCGTGTTCTTTCCACTGGTGGATTCCTGTGCCTCCGGGGTGATAAGGTGTTTACCCAGCACTCGGTGTGATGAAAGGCAGAGGCCAGGCAGGGCCGGGGATGCCATCTGGTGGGGCTGCTGGTCTGCTCTGGAACAGCGAGCCTGGCATTTATCAGGGCCGCATACCTCACCTTCCTGAGACAGCATCCCCAGACTCCGGCCACGTTTCCCATCTTCTATCTTGGGCGATCCACAAGCTGCTTCCCTTCTGCTTACCTCAGGTCTCCTTTCATTGGGATACTCTGCATTCTCCAGGAAAATTATCTGTTCTGTTGTTCTCTGCTGACCCGGTCATAAGGTCCATGGAAGATGCAGACCTTGTCATTTGATGCTTGTATCCCCAGAGCGTAGGGGACTTGCAAATGTTGCATGCTCAGTACATGAATGCAGATGAGCCAGTGAATAAATGAATGTATTAAAGGTTGAAATAAGTTGTATTAAGCAGGACCAATCTTGCACATGACAGAACCCTGGCTTAAATCAGTTAGAGTAAAAAAGAGAGGGGAACTTTAGAGTTATAAAACTGAAAAGTCAAAAAAACTACTTTTAAGCACGGCTGGGGGTTTCAGGCATGGCTGGATCTAGGTGTTCCCAAGGTCATGTTGGGAATAGCAACCTCTCCTTCATTTCTGCTTTCTGGTTGGTGGTTTCTTTGTCAGCCTGCAGTTCTGGATTATTCTGTGAATGGAGTCCCGTTTTTTTCCCCAGTAGTTCCTGCAACACTACGGGATTGAGTCTCATTGGTTGTAGCTGGTCACATGCTTATTCCTGAACCAATCACTTGGATCAGCCAGGAGTAGGTCTTGTGACTTTCATTAGAGCTTATGACTGAGATGGGCAAGGGAGTTATGGCTGGAGCTCATAGATTGAGATTGGGAGAAGTTCCCCAAAGGAAAACTGTGGTGTGACCAGAAACAGGGGTATAGGCTAGGTGGGCAGAAAAAGCAGCCATCTGCACACAGAGAGTGAAGTTTTGGGGTGAGCTTAGGGGTTGGGCTCATTGGTTTGCCATGTTTCTTGGGGGAGGCATTAGGTGGGACGGTTGTTCTTCGTGCCGTGGGAAGGACTTTGTATACCCTTGACCCTCCCCTGTCATAAGACCTTGACCCTGCCTGTGAAGCAGTCCCACCTGCTTTTGCATATTCCTGATGCCACCTGCTGGAGGCCCTGGTTGCTATGGGTCTCAGTACCACCAAGCCCTCCCCATTCCCCAGCATGCAGTGCCCAGCACACAGTAGGTGCTCAGTTAAGAACTGCGGGGTATGGGGGAGGGGGAGACACAACATCAATAAGGGTACCTGATCTCAAACCACGCAAAGTGGAGACCAGAGGGAGGTCCAAGCTTTACCTGTACGATGACCACTTATATACCTAATCCTGAATTGTATCCCACATCTTTAAAAATAAAGAAGAAACTGAGCCCTGGACATGCGGCTGACCTTGCTTGCTGGAGAAGCCGAGCTATGACCCGAGAGGGGCGGCAGGACGTTGCCTGCTTCTGCGGGCCCTGTGCTGCCAGGTGCTGTGGGCCTCTGCTTCCCCAGTGCTGAGTGCCTGGTGTGGCGTGCCCGAGGTCTGCTTTCCTTCACTGCTGAGGAAACACCTCCGGGTGTGTGCTCTGCTACTCTCAGGCAGATTGGTCCACCTGCCCCCACTGACCTCCCCCACCACCACCCTCCCATCATCTGCTCCACAGACGGTGACTGCATGCCTGCCCCTATCCTGGCACTGTCCTGGCCACCGACGTGGGAGCAGTGGACGCTACTAGAAACCCCAGCGTTCGTTCCAACTGGGAGAGACACAGTCAAAAGCAGACACAAGAGAGAAAACTCAGCAGGCGAGGCCATCACAAGGGCTGTGGAAAAAAGATCGGGGGCCTCATGATGGGGAGGGTGTTAGAAGCAGGACAGTTGATGTCTCCTGAGAGGGCGCTCCTTCTAAGTGGGGGCTTGGAAGAGCACATGCAGAGGCCCTGAGGCAGCACTGCTACGCCCACTCGTAGGCAGAGTAACCACGGAGGCTAGAACAGGGAAGCCAGGGAAGGTCAGCGAGTGACAAGTCAGGTGGGCCCTGGGACCCGAGTGGTATCTGTGGTCAGTTTTTTCTTTTTTTAATTTACTTTTTAAGTTGAGATATAATTTACTACTTTTTTTTTTGAGTTGGAGTCTCACTCTGTCACCCAGACTGGAGTGCAGTGACCACTCCCGGCCACCGCTGTCTCAACCTGCTGGACTCTGGTGATCCTTCCGCCTCAGCCTTCCAAGTAACTGGAACTACAGGCGTGTGCTACCACACCCGGCTAATTTTTGATTTATTGTGGAGAGGAGGTCTCGCCAAGTTGCCCAGGCGGGTCTCGAACCCATGGGCTTAGGCAATTCACTCACCTCAACCTCCCAAGGCGCCGGATTACAGGCTGAGCCACCGAGCCCAGCTATAATTTACTATTTTAAGCTGTGTACTTCAGTGGCTCTCCATATAGGTTGTGCAGGCATTGCCGCTATTTCCAGATCATTGCATCACCCCAGGAGGAAACTCTCTACCCATGAGCCCTTGCTCCCCAATCTCTCCAGTCCCCCAGCCCCAAGCAGCCACTAATCTACTTTCAGACTCTGGATTTGCCTATTTGGGACATTTTGTATAAATGGGATCAGATGACAAGAAGCCTTTTGCGACTGGCTTCTTTCACTTTGCAAGACGTTTTCAAGGGTCATCCATGTTGGAGCATGTATAAGAATTTTTTTTTTTTTATGGCCGAATAATATTCCACTGTGTGAATATGTGTGGAGAGAGTTTTGAGTAAAGAGTGACTTTGGGGTTGGCCAGGTGTGGTGGCTCACACCTGTAATCCCAGCACTGTGAGCAGCCAAGGTGGGAGGATCAGTTGAGCCTAGGAGTTCGAGATCAGCCTAGGCAACATGGCGAGACCCCCATCTCTACAAAAATTTTAAAAAATAGCCAGGTGGGGTGGTGTGTGCCTGTAGTCTCAGCTACTCAGGAGGCTAAGGCAGAAGGCTCACCCAAGGCCAGGAGGTCAAGGCTGTGGTAAGTCATGACTATACCACTGCACCCCAGCCTGGGTGACAGAGTGAGATTTCGACTCAAAAAAAAAAAACGCCCTTGGGGCTGGGCATGATGGCTTGCTGCTGAAATCCCAGCACTTTGAGGTGGGAGGACCTCTCAAGGCCAGGAATTCAAGACCAAGCTGGGCAATATAGTGAGACCCATCTCTTAAAAAAAAAAGTGTCTTTGGTAAGAGGCCAGTGCGTTGTTACTGCCTAGATAAGGGCAGCCGCTGTGTGAGGACATCCAGGAATCATGTGTCTGTGGCCTTTTGAGCATGTCACCTCCCTCTTGGCTGAAGAGCCTGGAGTATTTCTCTGCCTTACCAGGGGGTCATCAGCTTGTTAATGTCAGAGGCAGAAGAGGAACCAGCTCTGCTGGTGAGCAGTTCTTGCTCTTGCAACCAGGTTAATGGATTCTTTGGAAGAGAGGCCTGAGGAGTTTGGACTGAGTCCTGCTCCAAGACAAAAACAGCTGCCGCACATAGAGTCTTACTGTGCCTCAGGCCCTGCGCTCACAAGCACTCCACCCAAGAGCCTTCTTTCTTGCTGCTGACTGCCCTTAGTGGTGGATCGTGACCCCCATTTGATAGATGGGAAAACAGATGCTTGCCTATAGAGGTCAGGTGACACACCCAGGTCACACAGCTGATGCGTGGCAAGGCATGTGTGATTTTGTTCTTATTATGTATTTATTTTTAGGGACAGGGTCTTGCTCTGTTGCCCAGGCTAGAGTGCAGTGGTGCAATCTTAGTTCGCTGCAGCCTCAGACTCCTGAACTTAAGGAATCCTCCCACCTCACCCTCCCAAGTAGATGGAACTATAGGTGTGTACCACCACACCTGGCTAATTCTGAAATTTTTTACTGCTGGAGCCTCACTATGTTGCCCAGGCTTGTCTTGTGCTCCTAGGCTCAAGCAATCTTCCTGCCTCAGCCTGGCAAGTAGCTAGGGCAATAGTCACATACCACCCTGCCTGGCTAAGTTTTTTTTTTTTTTTTGGGTGGGGGGGTCATACCAGGATCTTGCTCTGTTGCCCAGGCTGGTCTTGAACTCTTGGCCTCAAGAGATTCTCCCTTTTTGGCCTCCCAAAGTATTGGGATTGCAGGTGTGAGCCATTGTGGTCTGGTTTTTATTTTTAAGATGTGTGGCCTTCCAGTAGGTAACATTGAAATGATGCATCTGAGACCCTGAAAGTACAGGGACTAACAGCCACACCAGAGGCAGGGCTCAAAGACAGATCTCTTGACATATTGGCAGGCTGCCCGGAGCTCACAAAGCTGAGGACCTGGGAGCTCATTTTCCCTGGGAAGGCCCTTCATGGCTCTAGGAGCAAGGGACTAACATGACAACAGGGACTTTTGCCCATCTGCCAGGGTTCAGGGTTTTCCAAATTGCTGATGATGGTGTGTACCAGGTAGTCCTGTGGGATCCTGTTGGTGACACCTGGCCCTGCCCCTGTCCCCAGCAGAGCGGGAGGGACACACCCACCTAGCGCCTGGCGGACATGCACGTCCAAGCTGCTTTTCCTGGCCTCCTGAGCAGGGCAGCGCGGTTCTGGGGTGTCCAGGCGGCTCAGCCTCCTCCTGGCAAGACGCTGCCACCCCAGACAGCCGAACACAAGTTCAGGTGTGTCTGAGCCAGAGTAGTGAAAGCTTAGGAATCACCACAGGTTTAGGGTGCATCAGACTTTATTTGTAGGAAGCCTGGCTGTTTTTTTTCCTTCTGTGTTAATTGTTCCTGTCCTCGGGGCGTACAATCAGGCATCACACACACTAGAAGGGTGTTGTGTATCCTGCGTCCCCAGTTCACAGAGGAGACGACTGTGACTCTGGGAGGGAAGGCGCGCTTTTCCATGGCCTTCCTTAGCGTCCCTAAACACCAGGGGTTGTGCCAGGCCCAGAGGACATGGTCCTGCACACTGCTCGGTCCCTGCCTGCATAAAGTCAGCATTTCAGCTAGGAGACAGTGAATGCCTGTGAGCAGAAGGCGGCCATCGGAGCCGTGGAGAAAACAAGCCAGGGCAAAGGATGAGAGCGCTGGGGGCAGGTGGGGGACAACTGCAGGGCGAAGGCCAGGTGGGGCTGTGCTCAGTGGTGTTGAGGAAGGGGGGAGGCTGTCCTGTTGTCGCCGAAACCGTGGTGGGAGAGCCAGGACTTGGGGCTCCTGGCCATTCATTTACCCAGTTCATGATTTAATTTGTTTTGAGACAGGGTCTCGTTCTGTCACCCAGGCTAGAGTGCAGTGGTGCGACCATAGCTCACCACAGCCTCCACCTCCTGGGCTCAAGCGATCCTCCCATGTTAGCTTCTGAAGTAGCTGGGACTATAGACGCGTGATGCCACGCCCAGCTTACTTAAAACACATTTTTTTTGGTAGCTATGGGTTCTCACTATGCTGCCCAGGCTGGTCTCGAACTCCTGGGCTCAAGCCATCCTCCTGCCTGGGCCTCCCAAAGTGCAGAGATTGCAGGCATGAGCTGCCATGCCGGCCACCAGTTCATTCTGCGAGCGTGTAGTGAGCACCTGCTGTGTGCTAGGCCCTGCCCTGGGCTTTTCCACCACCACTGGTGGCCAGTCATGGCCACTCCAGGACAGTGTCTCTGCTCCTGCACTGTGACTGTCCCTCAGGCCTGGTGGTCAGTGCTGTGCATTCTTCTTGCAGGTGGCCCTGTGTACGTTTGCCGTCTACGTGACTGTCGAGAAGCACAGCATCCTGGATGCCCAGAAAGCCTTCGTGTCCTTAGCCTTGTTCAACATCCTCCGCTTCCCCCTGAATATCCTTCCCATGGTCATCAGCAGCATCGTGCAGGTGTGGGTGGGGCCACGGGGGGTTGAGGGAGGGGGTCTCAGGCCCGGGCTGGTAGCAGAAGGGCATGGACAGCCCCTTCCTTGAGGCCCCTCTGCAGCTAACTCCCCACTGGGCCCGGTGGGTTCCATGAGGCCAGGACCAAGGCTGCCACGCCTCTGTGGTCATGCCCCAAAGAGGGACACACATTGAACTTCATTTTGTTTTGTTTTATTTTTTTGAGTCAGGGTCTCCCTCTTTTGCCCAGGCTGGAGTGCAGTGGTATAGTCACAGCTCACCCCAGCCTTGACCTCCTGGGCTCAGGCGATCCTTCTGTCTCAGCCTCCTGAGTAGCTGGGACCATAGGTGTGTGCCACCACACCTGATTAATTTTTTTATTTTTTGTCAAGATGAGATCTTCCGATGTTGTGCAGGCTGGTCCTGAACTCCTATGCTCAAGCAGTCCTCCTACCTCAGCCTCCCAAAGTGCTGGCATTACAGGCATGCACCACCACACCCAGCACATTGTCCTTCTTGATAGAGACTCATGCTTGGTAGTGTGAGGCAGTAGGTTACTGCAGCAAGTCTGTGCTGTGTGAGTGTCTGTCTGGAATATTCCGCCCCTCTATTCTTCTTTGGCCTGTCCTCTCCTCTTGCATCCTGCTCTTGACTGGAGTGGTTTTACCACCCACTGACAGGTCTGGGCCTACCCTCTGAAGATCCCCAACCTAGACCCCAGAGTGTCCCTAAAATTCATGCCAATGAATCTGCGAGGAGAGGAGGTGTCTGCCTTGTCACATTTGACACTCCTGTCACCTTCCTGCCAGTATTTTTTTTTTTGAATAAGAGTCTCACTCTGTGTCACCCAGGCTGGAGTGCAGTCGCACACTCATGGCCACCGCAGCCTCAGCCTGCTGGGCTCAGGCAATCCTTCCATCTCAGCCTTCCAAATAGCTGGAACCACAGGAGTATACTACCACACTGGGCTAATTTTTTAATTTGCTATAGAGATGAGGTCTTGCCAAGTTGCCTAGGCTGGCAAACCCCTGAGCGCAGACAGTCCTCTCTCCTCTGCCTCCCAAAGCACTGGGATTATGGGCATGAGCTACTGCACCTGGCCCTGCCAGTATTTTTAACATCCTGCTTCCTGCATCACACACATTAATTTTGAAAGCGCCGTCTTCAACCACATGGACCCATCAACCTTAAGACTGGGTTATCCAACTGGGGCTGTAGGTCCGATCACAAACAAAAACAAAAAACGCTTTTTTTAAGAAACCAAATGTCCGCAGAACTAGAAAGCACAGCACAGTGCGAGCCCGTGGATCTACCCTCCCAGGTCCAGCCCTGGCATTTCCTGCCTCACACCATCTCGTTCTTTCTCAGCCCTCCTTCCCTTAGTCCCTTTCTTTCTTGGCTGAGGAATTTTAAAGCAGAATCCAGACCTCTTGTCGCTTCCCCTATACATACTGCAGTGTGCATTTCTTACATAATGATGACACCATGATCACACCTGGCCAGATTCGTCATTTCTTACAATTACACTAGGCCCATAGGAGAGTTTTCTGGAATGTCTCAGAAGCACCTGTGCAGTGGGGCCATTGAATTGGGCACATTTTTTAAAGTTTCTTTTTTATTGTTGTTGTTAAGTTTCTTTTTCATTTCTTTTTTGTTTTTATGGGTTTTTTTTCTATTTTGTTTTTGTGATTTTTTTTCTTTTTTGCTGCTTGTTCATTTCTGAAGTCTCTTTCTCTCTAGGCCAGTGTTCTGCTCTTCTTTTCGAAAATACTTCTTGTGTGCTTTTGAAGGAAACCAAAACAAGAACCTAAACCAGCTGATGTTTTATTCTGAAGTGGATACTCGTTCTCGGAAATGTGGGGGCCTTCAGACACAGGGGAGGATGTGGGTCCCTCCACGCCCTTGGGAAACCACTGGAAGTCAGCCTTGGTTTGTTTTGCACAAATGCTTCTTAAAAATAACCCTGCCCTGTGATTGCTTTCTGTGTAGGCAAGTGTCTCCCTCAAACGACTCCGGATCTTCCTCTCCCACGAGGAGCTAGAGCCCGACAGCATCGAGCGGCGGCCTCTCAAAGACGGTGTGTGAAGACGTGTGTGTGTG